CTAATTTTGGGAAACCCCCCCATAGTACCAAGCTTCACGTGCAAACACTGCCGCCTCCAAGGCGGCTATCAAGTCAACTTCTGCCGAACAGCAAAGGCAGCCTCTGAAAATGATTAGGAGCAGGTTTAGGGTGGTTGTCAAAATTATGGTGCCCATTAGGGGAATATTAGGGTTATATTGGGGTTATATGGGGGATTATGGAAAAGAAAATGGAAACTACTATGATGGGTTCTATGGGTGGTTGTCAAAATTATGGTCCCTTTTTGAGTACCCTAAATATTAGGTGCCGTATTATAACAGGGATCCAAAAAGCGACCATAACTTTGACAACCACCCATGTACATCTATCCCTATCTATTCCTACACATTACCACTCCGATGAGGGAAGTTCCAGCAACACACAGAGCAACATACTGTGCTCGCTACTAGCAATCTGCACAGGGATGGCTGCAGACGGCATAAGTCTGGTTTGCCCAGAGTGAACTTGTTGAAAGCCGGAGATTGTTCATCTCAGTGCCAAGCCATTTGCAAGCTCAATCACACCGTCCGCCTGCTGGCCAAGAGTGAGATAGCTGAGAAACAGTAGTCGCTTTGCTGGCTGTCCAGCTTCAAACTGCATGACGGGTCCCTGTTTTATAACTGCAGCTGAACATGATTGCCACAGCGCCAGAGCGGACATGAGCGGACGAGACATGCCAGCACGGAACCGATGGGCCCCCTCATACGCAGCCCATGCAATGAATGCGTATCAAATTGTCTTGATCCAGCTCTAGGCTCCCAGAAACTGAAAAACAGTGCATGACTGATGATGTGGCCTGGTTTTTCTTGACGGACCTTCAAGCTCAACTCTTCCCCCTGCCAACAGTTTGTCTCCCTTCTTCAAACGGTTTCGTGAGCTTCTCCCTACAAATACCGTTTTCGGGCTTGCAGCATGAACAGCTGCCAACCTCACAACAGATAGTGGCCGGCGCTACTCTCTTCAGTCAATCCTGTCAAACGCCTGGTTTCAGGAGTCCTCTTCAGAAACACTCCGCCATCTCAGACGTGTGGTGGAGGCTTACTCAAGCGCGCGAGAGACACCGTAAGCGGCGAGTTGCGCTTCCGAAGGCAGGGGTTCCTTGAATGGGTCCTCGAATGGGCCCCAGATTACGACGGGCACGCTGGACAGGAAGCTGTGTCCGTCGTATAGCAGTGCCTCGCCGCGGAAACGGCTCCCTAATTATTCTGCGTCTGTCTGTCATGTTCAATGAGGTTGGAAGCCTGCGACATTCTCCCTCACATCCACCGCTTTTTGGCTACCTTCCGTGTGGGCCCCCACCGCTACCCACTTCCTTGCCTGTGCGGAGAACTGGCGGAGCAGACGCCACACATGGCTAACGGCCAGCAGTGCTCAGGCAAATGCCTAGCCACTGGGTAGCTTGGAGCATTTGGAGCCCTTTCACAGCATTCGCGTTTGCCAAGGACGTGGTCAGGTCACTCTCCAAATTCCCGGATGCATCTACAGCCTGCCTCGGCATGCGCGTTGGCCACCAGTGCGCCATCGACACCCAGGGAGCCAATCTCGTTCTCAATGACGGCAATCTGATGGCAGGAAAGATGCTGGAATGTAGGTTCCAGGCCACAAGCACTGAGCTGACGATTTTCCAGGGACAGAACGCGGCTGCGACCCTCTCGGAGACTTGCATTGAGCCGGGCCTCAGTCTGTCTCCGTGCAGGCCCCGAAAATGTTAGGAAGCTCAGCTTGTCACTGTTTTCCCGGCACCCAGGAAGCCCGTCAAGATGGTCACTGGCACCTGCAGCTGGCAAAGCATGCCCTTCAGCTTGGACCTACAGCAGCGTGCCCAAGGCTCCTGTATATCAACGACCTCGAACTGCATGCAGCAGAAATGCGACAGTAGAATAGAGTATCAGCCCAGTAAATATCTATAAGGCAGAATTAATTGCCTTGACGCGTGCTTGCTCGCCAGCAGTATGAGCGGTCATGGCTAAAACTGAGGACACGCATGCTGAATGATTGCTTCCCTGTCGACGGCAACATTCGGGGTTCACCAAAACTGTGTCAGTTCAAGCATTGGGGCTCAAATAGTTGAAGACAGTCTTACGTCTTGCTGGTGTAAATATCCTATCCTGTCTCTGAATCTGACGGAGCCGCAAGGGTCGGACGGAGTGAAAAGTCAGCGCTGAGTGAGCATTTTGGCGTACTGGGCTACGACAGTTGCTCTATTTCTTTTTTTCACTCAGTTGGAGCCACTGCCCACATCTGTGCCGCGAAGCTCTAGGAATCCGAGTAATCATTGGCGTTCCTGACAACCTCTCTTCCATTCTGCTGCGCATCGACCCAACCCAAGTTCTAAATGCTGCCAGCCGCTCGCTCGGTGCACGCAGTGACTCGCTGCTAGCAATCCGCATGGGAGTTGCATTCCGATCTTGTTGAAGGCCGTAACTTGTTCATCTCAGTGTCAGACCAGTTGCAAACTCAATCATACCGTCCGCTTTGCTGGTCAGGAGTGAGATAGCTGGGGAAACGCCGGGTTGCTGAAGAGCCCTTAGGCTTTGCAGGCTGCCCAGCCTCACATTGCATGACGGGACGGTGGAGTCGCAGATTATGGCTGGGCTGTGGCAAAGAACGAGTGACGCAAATTGGAAGATGCAGCCGCGTCCTCCATTTTGCGGCGCTCGTGTTTGGCTACCGAGCGGGCAGTGGATGCGGAAGTCACCAAATCCCTGGTGGACAAAGAGATCAAAGAGTCGGATCTGAAGATCTCTTCAGGAACGGTTGCATGCGTAGCCTTGGTCCGGGGAAAGAGGCTCTGGGCAGCCAGAGCTCCTTTCCCAGGACCAGTGCTATGCACACAGTCGTTCCTGAAGAGATCTTCAGATCAGACTCTTTGTCGTTTCCACCCACTAGAGTCTTGGTGACTTCCGCATCCACTGCCTCACAGATGCCCGTCTCGACATCAGTTTTGTCTTGCAGATGGATCGCAAAGCCACCACATCGCCAAGGCCTCAAGCAGTTGGTAGCTGTGATCCTCTACACAGCATTCACGTTATGCGTTTGCCAAGGCTTCATCTGAAACCTGCTCACGTGATCAGATACTTCTTCCAACTCTCGAATGCATCTACTGTGTACAGTCTGCCTGAACATGCACAATGGCCACCAGCGCGCCCGCTCAAGAAACCAATCTCCTCCTCAATGACAGCAATCCTGCAGCAGGCAGGATGCTGGAATGTAGGCTCGAAGCCACATAACCATAAACACTGAGCTGACAGCTTTCCAGGCAACACGGCCGCGACCCTCTCGGAGGCTCACATGGAGCCGCGCCTCTGTCCGTCTTTGTGATTTGAAGCCGCGGTGATGCAACAACTCCCAGCATTTCAGGAAGCTCAGTTTGTTGCTCGTCACCCCTGCACCAAGGAAGCCCACTAGCACCTGCATCTTGTCAAGCAGGCCCTTCAGCTTGCACCTATAGCATACATGTGGCTCCTGCACATTAAGAACCCTAGGCTGAATGCGGCGTCACATCTTCAGCAAATCCTTTTGAAACGCTTTCTTGAAATTGAAATCCTCTTGAGAAACAATCCGAATTTCCTGTCCGTCTTGGACTTACGGCTGAGAATCATTCAAGCGCGCGCAGAGGCACGCGGGGCCGGGGCACCGAGTTGCGCTGCGGGAGAGGTTCCGGGAACTTAAACACCAATACAACCGCTGCAGCATTGTCCGCTGCACTTACTTTGCTGGCATTCTGCACCACTGCTTTGGCTGCATCGTGTGGCTGCTCGGTGGTACGGAGTGCCCTTCGGGCATGCGTCACCGCGAATTGAGCCTTCAAAGGGTCCCAAATGCCATCCGAGCCGAGGATCAGGAAGTCAACGTCCTCGTCAATGTCAATTTTGTGCACTTCGGGCTCGCAGAGAATGCCTGAAACTTTCTGGCCAGTGGGAAGGTGCACGTTCCCAAACGCACGCGACACCGCGACGTGCTCCCCGATGTAGCCGCCACGCACTTCAACGCCCAGCTCCTGAAGGGTCACAGGCGGCTTCTTGTTCCGCGAAGTTTGGCTCTGCCGTTGCTTGTTGTGCATCTTGTCCTGTTATGTTGGCCTGCACAGATTGCTTTGTCAAGATTTGTCAGGCGTTGTGTTTGCTGTCGCATGCTGTCCCAAACGGCCAAGGACTTGTAGGCCGTAAACCATGGGTGACAACGCAGATGAGAATATGCAGCGGCTTCTAAGCACTGATCAGATTTCCCGGCATTGTGATTGCTTTTGGAACAGCGAAGGTGTTGGGATGGGCCAAGACCAGACCCCCTTTCGCAAAACATGGACTGCAATTCGGTCTTGATTCAAAATTTGAAGACTGCGTAAGTTAGCATGTGGAGTTGGCTTCTGATTGGGAAGGCTCCATATGTACTCTTAGACACTTCTGCAGCTCTACAGAACACAGTGGGCTCTGTCTGCTTTGCCATTTTGAGACAGCATGTTTCGGCCATTTTCGGCCGCTTCCTGCCTTGAATGCTTGCTGAATGCACACATGGAAGAATGAACACATGGAAAGAAACAGACTGCCACCGTCCTTCAAGCGCTTGGCTTCCGCCTCGTTCTTCTCCGGTCAGTGGTCTACCGAGATGGTATGGGCCTTCGTGCCCTCCTTACAGAGCACTGCACGGCAATCCCCGAGGTTTGCTACCCAGAGCTCCTTTCCCCGGACCAGCGCTATGCACGCCACCGTTCCTGAAGAGACCTTCAGATCCGACTCTTTGATCTCTTTTTCCACCAGAGATTTGGCAACTTCCGCATCGACTGCCCCAAAGGCCTTGCAGATGCCCGTCTCTACATCCGCTTCATCTTGGAGGTGGCTTGCAAGGATGTTGGGCAGGATCTGCTTCACGACGGACACCGCTTCTTGCTCGGCATGCCCGTCGTATACAACAAAGAGGCGAAAGCCTGCAATGTCCTCCCTCATGTCGACCGCATCTTCCATTCTGCGGCGGTCATTCTTGGCCACCGCCCAGCCATAGTTCGGGCCTCCACCGCTGCCTTCCTCAGGCAGCAGGGGGGGCCTCCTTGCCTCTGCTCAGGCATGGGCAGAATTGGCTCAAAAGCCACCACATTGCGAAGGCCTCAACCTACAATCTTTGGTAGCTGTGAGCCTTTACACAGCATTTGTGTTTGAATGCATTTGCCAAGGCTTCATCTGAAACCTGCTCACGTGGTCAGATACTTGTTCCAACTCTTGAACGCATCTACAGTGTTCAGCCTGCCTTGGCATGCACGATGGCCACCAGCGCGCCATTGGCGCCCGAGAAGCCAATCTCCTTCTCAATCACGGCAAACCTGCAGCAAACAGGATGCTGAAATGCAGGTTCCAGGCCACAAAGACGGAGTTAACGATCTTCCAGGGACAGAACGCGGCTGCGACCCTCTCGGAGGCTCGCATTGAGCATCACCTCGGTCTGTCTTTGTGGCTATAGCCTATGGTGACGCAGGCCCATGAAGCTCAGCTCGTCACTGTTTTCGCTGCACCGAGGAAGCCCGTCAAGATGGTCACTGGCACCTGCAGCTTGTGAAGCAGGCCCTTCAGCTTGCACCTACTGCATACATGTGGCTCCTGTACATCAAGAACCCTAGGCTGAATGCAGCGTCACAACTCCAGGGGGTCTCATCCCTGTCACTTGTCACACGCAACAAAGACGTGACTCTCGAAAAGCATAGAAAGTTACAGTAACAAGATGGCGGCTACCCCAAGGTGCAGCATCCCTGTGATTCTTGGCACTCATGAACTGTCACACGCCACGAAGAAGCTACGCTTCCCCGCCCCGCAAGACTGTTTGCACCTTTGGCACGCGACGCAGCAACGACAGTCCAAAAGCCACAACACGTATAAGACGATGGTGACCGCACGAATGCTTGGAAACGCTTGCGAACATTTGCGGGAGCTTTGCCGGCGCTTGCGGACACATGCGCAATGAGTTTGGTCGGCCGCGGAGTCCCAGATCACAACGCTGAAACAGGACCCCTTCTGCGGAGCACTCAGCAACAGGAAGGCTGCATGGAACAACCAAGCAAGATGCTACTTGCAGCATAACCACAAAACGTCGGGAACACTATCAAAGAAGAGAGGTTATATTCAACCACGAAGGGTGAACTTAACTGCACTCTGGCCAAAAAAGGGTGTACATAAAGAGCAGCAAGATTGGATGCAACCACAAAGTAAAATAGTATTCATACAAAGAGCACGCAAAGGAAACAAACACTAAAACAGGAGGAAGGCGAGGTGCAACAACCAGGCATGACCTGCTTGGTACCATGACCATTCAAGGGCATGCACTATGAAAGATGGAGTAGGGAGCTTCAATATAAGCATGGAGCTTAATGTCGTTCGTACCATGCCTTAATGTCATTCATATCATGCCCATGCACGGGTAGGCTTAGCGAACACTACGGGCGTGGCGAGGTCTCAATGCAACAAGAAGCTGCCTGTTTCAAGACCAGGCGAAGGTATTAAACACAACAGAAGCAAGGAAAGCTGCAATGCAACCACTCGGCATGATGATGCTTGTCGGGTAGTGATCACTACGGAGGGGTCAGGGAGGTTTGACGCAACGACCAGCACGGTTTATGTGTATCATAACTTTGCACGGGTTGTCAACACTAAGGGGAGCATAACCTTTAAGATCACCAGCATCGTGTCATTCGTATTGTGACCTTGCTTGGCTATGGCAAACGATAGAACAAGTAGGGAGGTTTTGACGCGACTACCACACCCATACCATGATCATACAACCGTCGTGAACCGCGAACGGGACAGGCAGAGTACTGCCGAGAAGTTGGATTTGACTACCAGACACAAGGTCCTGGGAGTTCAGGACCAGAAAATGAAACTGCTTAAAACAACAGGAGGAGCACAAACACTTATGGAAATACAAGACACATCAACAGGCGAAATGAAGGTAGGAAGGACAGGAGCGGAAAGAGTAGGAATAGGAGCAGACTCCAATATGTCATATTTCTGACAGTATGTAGGTGGGACAACGCAAGCACCCCAATTTTGACGCCGGAACTTGTTTTTGGACGCCGACAGGAGCATGTTATTTAGATACGGATATGAACATGTATCAGAGGGCATACGCCAATAAATCATTAAACATCATTCCTTCTCATGAAATCAATTTCAGTCTGCAATCTCATGAAGAAGAAGACCCTACGACAGCAACCATAGCAGCACAAATCAAGCGAGCTAGGCTTGAGTTTAGTTTTGCGTTAGCAGTAGTAGCCATCGAGGTTGGAAAACAACGTAACGTGTGATATAACTAGAAGCTAACATTATGGAGAGCAACTTGGAAACACGAACGCAAAATTATACCAAAGAGCAGATGCTTATAGAATTCAAATGCAATTTCGACAGAGGAAATCTACAGACGGACAGAACATCCGACCCCACAACAGGAACAATAGCATTACAACAACTAAACGACATTCGACACTCTCGGAACTACAATTAATGGAGCAGTTATAAATAATCAAACATTCAGTAGTATTACTGTAGTATTAGTAATATTGTTGGAGAGGCGAATGTCACTAGTTGGGGATGCTTTATATTTCAGGACAGCACTGAACTTAAAAAAGTAATTATTGGACACACGGTATAAATTGTTTATCAGAAGCAGCAATGCGTTACTAGACATAAATCTTTCAACGGGATTGGAATCATCAACACCAGAGAACAAAGTAACAAACGGACAGGTTAATCTATTAGGACATGCAGACATTACGCGTTCGGATGAATCAGTAAGTCAAAGAGTCAAAATAGATAATCCAGACAGTGACGGACAAATAATGATGTCAATAAATAATGCTGATAAAAAAATTAGGCATGATATCAGTTGTTGCTGATGTTTACGGTTCTTTCACATCAACAGGAACAGTGACATTTACAGGAACTGGAACATGCAGCGCTTCAGTTGAAACATGAGATAAGAAATTGAGAGAAAATATTCAAGAAGTAAGTGATAAGGATTGCGACATCTTTTTTGAGGAGTACATAGGCCCAGGCATCCTGATAGAGTTGTTAATTTAATTCGCACCATGAGCATGCCAGGGCAGCGAACTCTGACAACAAAAAACGGATTTGATGCAACAACCAGGGATGATGTTACTGCACAATTACCAACCGAACATGACGTTTTTCCTCACCCTTTCGCAGAAAGAATCACATTGGACCACCCCGCCCCTGCTTCCCCGCTTCACCCCAAACCTACGATTCCCGTGAAACAATCACGTTCGACCCCCCACCAAAAAAAAATCCATGAGTTTCCTTTGGAAGAATTACACTCGCACCCCTCCCCCCCATGCTGTGATATCTCACGCGTTACGTCGTTTTCCAGACCTTGAAGGCTACGACTTCTAAAGCAAGACCAAACTCAAGCATAGCTGCGCTAGCTTTCGTGATATGTTCCCATGTAACGCCGTTAAGAATGGTTCCATCAGTGCGCAGAGCAACCCATTGTGCTCGCAGCTGCACAGGAATCGCTGCAAACAGCACGTCCGCTTGCCAATGCTGAGCTTGCTGAACGCCGTAACCTGTTCATCTCAGTAAAAGACCAATTGCAAGCTCAATCACACCGTCCACCTTGCTGGTCAGTGGTCAGGAGTGAGATAGCTGGAGAAACAGTAGGTTGCTGAAGAACCCTTGTGGCTTTGCTGGCTGTCCAGTCATGACAGGACCCTATTATCCCTGTAGCTGTAGCTTAGAACCTGATTGTCTCACAACGCAGCACAGGACATGGCAGCAATTGTCAGCATGGAACCGATGGCCCCAGCATACGCGGCCGACGCAGAAATCTGCACGACGTATGATGCTGCCAGCTTTTCCCCGACGGGCCTGCAAGCTCATAGTCTCCCCCTGCGAACAGCCTGTCTCCCTTCTTCAAGCACAATGCAGTTGCGGACTTCTCCTTATGAACAGCTACCCACTTCACAACAAATCGTGGTTGACGCGACTCTCTTCCGCAAATCAATTTCTAACGCCTGGTTTTCAGGAGCCCTGAAGGAAACAATACTCATGTGCGCGAGAAACACACGGGCCATCTAGTTGGGCGGCGCGAACCGGTCTTTCGGGCTTCAGATTCGATAGGATCCCATGGTGAGAAAATCAATACCCTCCACTCTTTTGCTGGTCTTCGACATAGCTGCCAAATGAACTTGAACGCAAAGCTCCTGAAAGCGTTTGGCTTCCGCCTCGTTTCTCCGGGGAATGGTCGGCGGAGACTGCCTCAGCCTTGTGGCCCTTCGTGCAGAGGACAGCTGCAATCTCAGAGAGCCACAATCAATATATATCAATATCAAATGCAATATCCCTTTTCGGTAGATCAAGCAATGCTTCGGCTGCTTGGGCAGGTCTTGACAAGCAGATTCTGGCAGCCTTCATCAACACTCTGGGCCACAGGAATCCATTCAACGCGCATTTCTAGCGAACAACACAAACACACCTTGATCCGAGCCACTCCAGCTGCCAAACGCCCGAGCCAGGTCGCCATACTGCTTCCGCAAACTCGTGGTGCGCCGGATTGCATTTCAGACTTTCAGCTCTGCGGGAACGAACGACTTCCCAGTCACTGCCATCTGAGAGGCCGCTCGCATGGACCTACAACAAACGCTGCACCGCCCCTTCTCCGGCGGCGCCCACTCCCTGGCACCGCCACTCACGCAACTCTTGAAGCCAGACCCAGCTCACAAGTCACAAGGCTCAAAGTAACCCAGAGTTCAACCTCTTCAAGACCTTCAACCCCTAAACTCCCAAGACGTTAACCTTCTGGGTTCAAGGTTCGGAAGAGCTTCAACCAAGAGGGGTCAACAGGTCGCCAAAACATAGTTTAAAAATCATGGCATTATCATGTACGAAATACCTGAATCTCAGCCCAAGTTCCTGAATTGGTCTTTCCGTGAGGACTCGCGTCCGAGACTTGGTGTCCACCCCGCACCCGAGTCCCGCCTTGGTGCGGGCGACGATGTGGATCAATGGCGCGAAGCAGGTTGCACCTCACCCAGAATGCCATGACCCTACGTGGATCAAGGCTTCAGTTGGATCTTCCAAGGAAGATCCCGGATGGCTTCGAGTAAGATTTTGGTGGCCTTAGACAGCATTGCAAACGCATGCGGGGAAGACTCCAGGATTTAACATGACGCTGCAGGCACGTCGCAGATGTGGGGCCTTACAGTGCCTAACGTCCTAAGCATCCATCCAAGCTCCCGCGCTTGGAACACGTCCATGGAAGCGCATCCCAGGTCATCTCACTATGGCATATCTCAGCCTCTCACCCGATCCACGCCTCCAAGGCAAACGTCGCCTCAAAGGTTTCAATGGCAGCCATGTTCTTCACCCTTACATGCCGCTTCGATCCGGCCTCAGGACCCAAACATAAAAAGCCATCTCTGTTTTCTGCAGCGCGCTCAGTGCTTCGACAATGCTTTGCAAAGTCCTGAGAGGAATCAAGAGCAGCTACCCGTCACGGATCACGGTAGCTATCCGCGAGTGCGGGTTCACTTCAACTCCGCCCCGGTGACGCACTTCTGGTAGTTCATGATCGGGTCATCAATGCTGTAGCCTGGGTAGCAAAGAGGCGGTTGAGCTCGATTGTCTGTGATTGCAAAGTCACTCGCTGGAAGAACGCCTCCATAATCGCCTTGGGACACCTTGAACACCCACTGCCACAAGACCCCATCTTGCGTGAATGTTTGCCTGGTCTTCACCTTGTGGCCTTTCTGTGTCGCCGCGTCCCAAGAGCTCTGCAAGGCTCCTCTGACGGTCATGCTCGTGTCAACCTCGCCTCCAGCGAGGAAGGACACCCCCACCTTTGCCTTGGCTGCGGCGGAAACCTCACTACCAAGATCCCAGCCACCTCCATTGGAGTCTTGTTTGTCCACACCGTAGGTCTCCGTCTGGGTCGTGCCCTTGGCAACGGTATGAAGATACTGCCAAGACCCCTTGGCTATGAGAGGCTTCGTCACAGCTAGGGCTCCCGCCAGGTGGAGGCGCTGCACTGTGTTTCCATCGTGTGAACCGCACCAGACCTTCCACTTAACGCTCTCCCCGGGCAAGGCGCCGGCCTTGCCATGCATCCAAGGCTTGCTGCGGTCTGTCGGACCAGAGGATCCATAAATGACGAAGGCGTTACTGCCGCAATCTTGCGTCAAACTCTCCTTGGAGGATAAATCGGGCTTGTCTGAGTCGATATAGAACGCTCCCCACCGGTCGTCCTCGCCTCCATGTGCTCCATTGCATTCCTTGTCGTAGTAGAGCCAAAGAGTGCGAGGCCCTTTGTAGATGGGGCGGCCATCGGCACTAGTGCCTGAGAAGCTGTAGACTCCATTCGCATGTTCAAAAAAGTCGTTGTGACAGGTGAGGCCTGAAAGCTGCAGCTACATTGGCACCTCGCCGAATTTGGTCCACTTCGTTGCCTCATCAATGATCAGCATGGTAGCGGTCGTGGTCAGGGAACCCTCATGCTTCAAGCTCATGGCCGCCAGCACGACGCCCGCAATCACGAGGAGGGCCGTGGAAAGAACCAAGATGCGCCAACCCAACCTTGCCCCCCGCCCTCCCAGGGCCCGTGTCGTTGAAGCCGGTGCCTCATGGGAGGATTCGGGGTCGATCAAGCACTCACAGTCCCTGCAGTCTCTCGCTGTCTCCATCGCCATCTCAGTTACTGGTTAGTGTCGCCTGTGGTCACTTGAGCAGAACTGGGGCCCGCCACAGGAATTCCTCCACAAATCGTCACATGTCTTTGTGTGACCAAACGTAAATGTCATAATGGACCCCGGCATCATGAGCATTCTGGGTGCCCTTGCAGCGACAGCGGAGAACCATGGCCAAGAACCTCCGGAGGTGCCGTTCAGATGGTTTCGTTTTGAGTATAACGGGTAAAGGAAACTCACCAGGGAAAGGTGCGTCCTTGGCACCTGAGTTGTTTCGGATTGCTTACGCTACATGGATCCCAGATCCGGCCCGAACGTGTTGACATCCACCTGAACGCCACGGGCTGTCCCCGCGGAGGCTGGCTACAGCACTTTCCATATAAGGCCCCGGCCACTGTGACAATTCTACCCAAGAAGAGGTCCTGCAGCCAGAGCTGTTGGACATCTTTGCAAAGCACAAAAAAGAAACACGCGGAAAGGCCTCGGCCAAAGGAACCGCCCTGTCGTCCAAGATTGAAATCACCTGAAGCTCTGCTGCACACGCTACACAACAACTTTGACATTACTTGGAGGGTCAGGGGGACTTCATAAGTACGTTACGGTTTCTAACTTGATGCTGGAATGTAGGTTGCCAGGCCGCGAGCAATGAGTTGACGATTTTCCAGGGACAGAACGCAGCTGAGACCCTCTCGGAAGCTCGCATTATTTGAGCCGGGCCTCGGTCGGTCTTCGTGACTTATTGTAACTTATGGCACTGCAGGCCCAAACAGTTCATGAAGCTGAGCTTTGTCACTGTTTTCCCTGCACCAAGGAAGCCCGTCAAGATGGTCACTGGCACCTGGAGCTTGCAAAGCAGGTCCTTCAGCTTGCACCTAGAGCATTTCTGAGGCCCCTGTACATCAAGGACTAAAAAACTGCGTGCAGCAGAAATGTGATAGTAGCAGAGCAGAATAAAGTATTAGCCCAGTAGATCCACTAGGCACCGTTCAGAGCCTTGGCGCGCTCTTGCTCGTCAGCAGCATGAGCAGTCATGGCTACAAGTGAGGGCACTGATGCTGAATGATTGCTTCACTATTGATGGCAGCAGCCCTGTCACCAGCTACTAGTGCTAGCGCGCAGGGTGCAGAAGAAGTTGCCAGTTCTCGCGTTGAGGCGCAAACAGTTGAAGACCGCATTACGCGTTTGCTCGCATAAATGTCCTTCCTCTGAAACTGACGGAGTCACAAGGTTGGGAAAGGTGTTAAGTCACTGCTGCCAAAATGAGATCCTCAACATTGCAGCCTACAACGGCTGCACTATTTTCTTCCTGCGCTGTCGGACGGTATAACCTTACTGGTGCTCAGCAGGAATGGAAGAATGAATCCCTACAGTAGCCCCTGTGCTGCCCACAGTACTGTCCCCCATTTCACATAATTAGCAAATGATTCTTTCATTCCTCTTCATTCCGTACTTACCACCATGCAGTCACTGTATCACGTCGGCGGCAAGCAGCGCCCTAATAAGATTAAAACAAGCTGGCAAGACCGCAAGCATTTGTCTCAAAGTCCGAAACATGAGCATCGGAGGAAACCAAAATTCATGCTTAATCGTGCTTGAAAGGAGTCGGGCAGAGTTTGCGGGACTCTGAGAGGTCTTGTCATTGGCCGCTCACCAGCACCGAACTGCTATGGGCTCGCACGTTTCACGTGGGCTCTGCTTGGCATGTTTTGGACAGCGTGGCATGCAGCGCGCGCTGTTCAATGTTGGCCTCAGCCTGTTGTCCGAGGAGCTGCGCTAAGGCTTCCAAAGCTGTCCCAGCTGCGGCATTTCTTGTCTCTCCTTTGGAGAGACAGATCTCTTTAGGGAAAAGGCCTCTGCCAAATTGAAGGCTTATTAACCAGATGTGCTCCTGGTCCTCCATCCCATTTACCCAGACAGGAGGATGGACCCTACCCCTGGCCCAGTCCACCAGTTTCTGCCAGTCACTCTTTCCACTCTTTCGTGCAGGACACGGGGCTGGGCGAAATGAAGGTGGCAAGACCTCTTTCCATGTGTAGGCATGGCTGGCATGCAGCGACATCATGTCAACGTGCCTGCTGCCGTCCTTAGCATTGTGGATCAACACAGTCTTGTATCCACTGTACTGGAGTTTCTGCAGAACATCTGTGAAGTCCTGATCTGACGTGATAACAATAAAAACAATGGAGCTTGCAGGTACCTGGTACTTTCCGTACAATAAGGCAGCCTTCTCAATCTCGCCTTTGATAACATGATCTGCAGCTTCCGGCTTAGATTTACAGTTCACCGCCCGTATAGCGGCGTCCTCCAAGTCATCAACCACATGTGGATGGTCTGCAAAGCGCCAAGTTGGAGCCACTGCCCACATCTGTGCTGCAAAGCCACCGATGTTCTTGGTATCCAGAAAGTTGCGCAAGGCCCTAACAACCTCTCTTCCATTCTGCTGCATATCGTCCCAGCCCACGTTCTCAATATCCCAGAAGAGGCGAACTTCCTTGACCATAGCCCAGTAATGCCGGTGCATGAGCTTTTCGAACGCGTGATAGTCTGTGTATTTCAGCAGCCTATCAACCATCAGCCGTGCTACCTCGCTCCTGCTTGATTCGTCTTGCAACAGTCGCGCAACGTCGGCAATGTCCATGTGCACGTCAGAACAAACGTCTTGAAAGTGGGCCTCCAGGCGAGTCAGGAAGTCTCTGTGAACCCGAGCTTTCTGATGCACGTGAGCATCCTGCTCAGTGTCCTGCTGTGGCTGCAGCCTACCGAATGCACAGCAGCTGGTGTCCCAAATCGGCACCTCTTCTTGAAGAACGTGCTCCAACTTCTGGGCAACGAGCGCTGCGACCAGTGGTCCCAACCTCGGAGCCTCAGAAACCTCCTCTTCAAGGGCATGCGGCAGCGATGGAAGCCCAGCTTCAGGAGGGGAAGTGTCCTCAGACGGTGCCGCCCGCAGGAAATCCCTTCCTGCCGCTCTGGACTCCTGGGGCTTCTCCAGCTGCAGGGGTGTCACAGAATGGGACGAAGACTTGAAGCATCCGCTTCCCATCACTCAGGCAGGGTGTTTACCTGTACAACACACACAGCCGATAGGGGATGAGCCAAACACTGCAACGAAGGAATTGAATGAATGCAGCAGTGCAAAAGCCATGGAGAAGAGAATCGAACGGTTTATAGACAATGAAAAGGACCCAGAAACTTTGTTTAGGGCTTAGGGTTTAGGGTTGAGTATCAGCTCAACTGTCCCGTCGGCGTGGCAGATGTGGGGAGCCCAGATCAATCTAGCAACCTGGCAATTATTTTTCCACTCTTTAGGGTTTAGGGCTTACAACAGCACAACGACAGATCAAAGTCAGAAGTGAAAGGCCAGCTCAAGAAATGTGAGTCTCTTAAAATGGGAGGGCTTTAGGGACCCCAGGGATATGGATATATATGTGTATATATATATAGGGATCATAAGGCGGTTTTTTTGGGTGGTCCCAGATTGTAGGTTGATTATTTTGAGAAACTCCCAAAATAACCGACTCGCAACGCAAAGATCGGGCTTGTGGACCTCCACCTGGTAGTTCCTAAAATGGGGGGACCCTAGGGTTTAGGGCTTAGGGTATAAGGTTTTGAGTTTAGGGCGTTTAGGGTTTAGGGTCTAAGGTTTTGAGTTTAGGGCATTTGGGGTTTAGGGTATAAGGCTTTGAGTTTAGGGCACAGGGTTTAGGGTGTACCCCGCAAATCCAGAATCAAATGCAAAATGAAATGCAAGCTACTATATACAGGGTTTTCCATACATTGGGGGACCCCGATGTGAACCCAAAATTCTATACCCTTGCGAAAGGGATCCCCAAAAGGAGCCCCATTTTTTTGGAAACCCCATCTGGATGATGGTCCTGAGCGGCATGCTGCGTCGTTTGCCATCCTACTGGGCTGGTCGCCAGCGCACTCACACCTCTGAAGAGGACTTACCCTTGGTTAGCTAGAAATGAAGGTATCCTTTTAGTAGCTCGTATATAACCCAAGATATTAGTTTCCATGTTCTTTTCCATTCCTTCATTCCCAGCCAACCCAAGGTAAGACGAAAGTGCAACTCTGAAGGGTTAAGGATTAGTGGTAGGCCGGGGTAGGCGCTGTGCGACCTTTGCGCCACTTGATATCATCTGCCTTGCTTTCAAAGAAGCGGCTTGTAGACAGCCATCTCTGAGGAGTTTCCCCAAAAGCCCTGTATACATATGAACTACCAGCACTAAGCAAGCTCCTCAGTGCGGCCTGCCTAAGCTATGTTCTGCGTTCCACAGAGTGCCCTACAGGAGTAATCAGAAAAGGCCATGCAAAATGGCTCTTCAATGTCTGGGGATTTTGAAGCTTAGGTTTGATGGCTCCATCGGTCCAATGGATGTACGTGGGGTGGCAGGAGAACGCATTCCAACGCCGATCCCTCTTCCTTTCAAAGCACTGAGTGCCCGTAGCCATTCAAATTAAGATTACTGTCACCTGGCATGGCATATCACATTCCAAGGGCACATGCTGGAAGGGATCGTTCCTGTGTCATCATGAGATGATTCCGGTGAGACAGCAGCGTACTGCGGCGGGGCAGAGACCAGAAGGCCCTGTTGCTCCGAGTCAAGCCCTTCCCTTTTGACGCTTTGGGTTAACAACAATGATACTAACAATAATGCAATAATAACAACAGTAATAACAATAACAAGAACAATAATCCATGCTATACTCCTAATAATAACAACAGCAATAACGACAAAAATTATAGAAATAATACTCATAGTAATAAACAATGAGAAAATACCAATAAGAATACTAATAATACAAATAGTACTACTAATACTAATAATACCAATAATACCAATAATACTAATAATACCAATACTTATAATACTAACAATACTAACAATACTAATAATACTAATAATACTAATACTAATAATACCAATAATACCAATAATACCAATAATACTAATAATACCAATAATACTAATAATACTAATAATACTAAAAATATATACGAAAAAATACTAATAATACTAATAATACTAAAAAAATACCAAAGAATCCGTGCTCATCCCAAACAGGCACCAGGCAAAGTGTGCTGCCAGCAAATTGACGAGTGCAAATTCCGTGCAGGGCCATGGCCCGGGTCGTTGCCATTTCGTTTTGAAGTTTAGGGTTTAGGGTTTAGGGTTTAGGGTTATAGTAGGGCTATATTGGGGTTACGTTGGGCTATATTGCGGTTATGTGGGATTATATTGGATTACATTGGGGTTATCTTCGGGTTATGTTGGGGTTATGTCGGGGTTATATTGGGATGATGGAAAGCAAAAGGAAACTACAGTTTAGGGTTTAGATATCTGAAGAATTACTATTGCTTGCTGCTTGTTACAAGAGGCGGGGCTATCACACATCAGTTGGTGAGAATATGCATCTCCCATGTAGATGCTGCTGGAATAAGGGAATATATTCCTTATATAATCTATTCCCTTATTCCCTACTAACAACCAGAAAGTATTGCTGGGCATTTAGAATGGATGATGTCTGCTGCTTGGCCGGCTTCGCATAGCTTCGCGACCCGAGACTCAGTAAGTAGGTTCATGATGGAGAAAACTTGGGATGTTATGTGGCTATGGGGACCACCATATGTCAGTATGGGTTTCATAATACTTGTACTTACTGAGTGCAATGCCAGCTGAACGCGACTTTGGCTCAGCTCGTGCAGCTGTCGTCATCTACGCTCTGCTCCATCTCATCAACCTCGTCTTCCTCCAGACTGTATTTCGGCCGAGTCCTTCCACATTCTCCCTTCAGCAACCGCGTAGGGGTTTCCTAAATCCGGGACCTTTTGAAAGCCTCTGATATTAATACTGATACTAATAGCAATAACAATGAGAATAATAATAGTGACAGTAATAGTAATAATAGTAATAATATAATAAAACTAGTAGCACTATCCCACTATCCCATGTATGGAAGAACCCAGGTGGACCAGCAACCAGAAGGCATCTGATACACACACCCACACACATATACATTGGGTACTGCCCCCACCAAGTAACAGTCTATATTAGGAGTCCTATTAAGGGCTATATATACCCATATTAAAATTACTATCCAACTGTTACTGAGGGGGGGCAGTACCCAACATATACACAATCAAACCATGGCACAGATCGGCAGCCCGAAGATCCCTCTGCGCTGGGGTTTGCCTAAACCTTCCAATGTAGTACCTTTTTGGGAGTCGTAATATAAGAGTCTTACCAAAAACCCTACCAAAAACGCCTTTTAGCTTAGGGTATAGGACTTAGGGTGTGGGGCGGAATACCACATCCCAGCTTGGTGTTGAACATAGCGGAACTGTTGGGAATGCTCCTCTCCCCCAAACCAAGAAAACCCATGCTTTGAAGACTGGATTCCCTGTGTTCTACATCAATTCTGCTTGTTTAGTGTTTTGGCTTTAGGGGTTTATTTAATTTGAATTTCCCAGTACTTATCCTAAGAATCCTCATGATACATTGCTGGCCTCTAAGGATTTCTGCAACTCTGACTTTCCTTTTGTGGCTTACCTGGGAACCCTATCTTGGAAAATGCTGGCAGTCATGAAGCCCAAACCTCGCTGGCTGCGCAGCAGACTTGAAGATCGGACTGGGACATGGTTAAGGCTTAGGGCTTTCAGGGTTTAGGGTGTAAGGCTTAGGGTTTAGGGTTTGGAGTTTAGCGTTTAGGATTTGGAGTGTAAGGTTTAGGCTTGAGGGTTTGGAGTTTAGGGTTTAGAGTTTAGCTTTTAGGATTTAGGGAGGGCAATTCACGAGAATCAGGGCTTTCAGGGTTTAGGGTTTTGCGGCTTAAGGTCTACAAGGTAGGGGTGTGTTGAGAATATGCGGGGGCCTATGCGAAATCTCTGAGGCTTGATGAAAAAGTAGTCATCAATTAGCAAGCATGTTTACAGAAGGTCTAGCAGCTCGAAGGGATCACGCATATTGAGGAGCCTCTTGTCGGAAGGTGCCATGAAACATGATCTAGTTCTGGCTCGTGCTCTTGGATCAAAAATTCCACACCCGTGTCTCTCTGTTCGCCAAAGCGCACGAGACACGCGCTCACCTCTTGAGGAATTGGACATAATCCTAAACCCTGAACCCTAAACTGCTAAACCCCAAACCCTAAACCCTACACCCCTAAATCCCTAAACCCCTAAACCAACTGGCCTTGCCACTGGGGGGTTCTTGACAGGCTCAAGAAGGTCTTCCAACAGAAAGCGCGTCTGAGCGCCAGCCTCTGCAGGCAGAAGGCAGAACCTATAGGGTTATTATACCCAGACCCTTGGGAGGATCTAAAAATTAATCCCCTAGAACCATATGGTAAATTATATAAGGATTATATAGGGGTTATAATGGGTCTATGTAGGGGATCTAATTTTTAGATCCTCACAGGGGTCTGGGTAGGGTTATATTGGGGTTTTCTTCTTATTGGTTATATTGGGGTTATATTGGGATAGTGGAAAGGAAAATGGAAACTACTATTTAGGGTTTACAGTGGGGTTTCGGGTTCGGGGTTTGGAGACTGTCACATCGAAGCTGCTATGCTTGTCCTGCTCGTCCTCCTACCACTGCTACTGCCCCCTGCCACTACCTTCCACCGCTGCTGCTGCTGCTGCTGCTGCTGCTGCTGCTGCTGCTGCAACAC